AGCTTTTAAATGTATTAAAAATACTCTAATAAATACCACGTTCAATGAGAAACTATTAAGTATCAAGGTATACAATAATTATAATTTATTTATGACACAAACAATGACAAGTAACAATTAATTGTGGAAATCAGGGAGAAAATAGGCAGTCTAATATTTAATATGCTAAATGTTAAGTAGCAATTAAGACACATAAATCAAATAAGCATGTGACAGTTATAGCAGGAATTCAAGAATTAATATTTGACAAGGAATATGAGAGAAACAATTATTATAACAATTAATTCGTGTCTTAAAATAATTTAAGATGTTTAAATAATTAAGCAAACAATTAATTTGACAAAGTATATGCACTGGTCACCTTGCCTATACATCGTTACACATGAAATTCAGATAGCAAATAATTCAAGGGTTCTATTCCCTCAAGTCAAGGTTAACCACGACACTTACCTCGCTTTGCAACCAAGTTCAAGAATCCAATAAACCTTTGCCTCGCGAATTCGTGTCCGAAATCCTCAAATCTAGTCATAAATAATTCAATATACTCAATACAAATCGTAGGAATTAATTTCATATGAATTTACTAATTTTCCAGATTAAAATTCGAATTTCATCTCAAAATTTGATAGTGGGGCCCACGTTTCGAATCTCGAAAAAACTTACGAAATCTGTACACCCATTCCGATACGAGTCCGACCATACAAAAATTATCAAATTCCGATGTTAAATGCACCTTCAAATCTTAAATTTTCATTTTTTTGGAAAGATTTACAAAAATTCCAATTTCATCCATCTAAATCCAAAATAAATGATGAATATAGACCTGAATTTATGAAATATAATCAATTTTGATTATAGAACACTTACCCAATTTAAACTCCTGAAAATCGCTTTGGAATCACCTAAATCCGAGACTCAAAACTAAAAAATGAGTAAAAATGGCTAACTCCCGATTTTTATGTGTTCTGTCCAGCATTTCCACTTCTGCGGAAACTTGACCGCATCTGCGGTCTAAAATCCATAGGTGCGATTACCCTAGAAGGCCAAAATTTTAGATTTTTTCTTAAATCCAAATTTTGATCTGTTAACCATCCGGAATCCACTCGAGACCCCCAGGACCTCAACCAAATATACCAACAAGTTCTAAAATATCATACGAACTGTAACGACTCGACCGGTCATTTCGAGAGTTATAGCTCCGTTTTCCCCATTTCTACTTCTTTTTGTGTTATTCAGCTATATTATGTTATATCGTGTTAGTTGGTTCGGGCAACAGAGAGACCTTTGGCATTAGATGTTCAGGCCTTAGCGGGCCAGCTTGTCAGATTTGATATTTCGGAGCCTAGTCGGGTATTGGCTTGTGTGGTCTCCAGATCTTCTCTTTATGACCGTATCAGGGAGCATCAGTATGATGACCCCCACTTGCCCATTCTTCAAGATAGGGTTCGGAGAGGTGATGTTAGGGATGTGACTATTGGTGATGATGGCGTGCTGAGAATGCAGGGCCGGATATGTGTTCCTAATGTAGATGGGCTTCGAGAGTTGATTCTTGAGGAGGCCCACAACTCGCGATATTCCATCCATCCGGGTGTCGCAAAGATGTACCACGATTTGAGGCAGCACTATTGGTGGAGGCAGATGAAGAAGGATATAGTTGGGTTTGTGGCTCGGTGTCTCAACTGTCAGCAAGTTAAGTATGAGCATCAGAGACCGAGTGACTTGCTTCAGAGATTAGAGATCCCAGAGTGAAAGTGGGAGCAGATCACTATGGACTTTGTAGTTGGGCTCCCACAGACTTCGAGGAAGTTCGAAGCTATTTGGGTTATTGTGGATCGGCTGACCAAGTTCGCGCACTTCATTCCAGTTGGTACTACTTACTCCTCAGAGCGGTTGGCTGAGATTTACATCCAAGAGATCGTTCGCCTGCATGGTGTCCCAGTTTCCATAATTTCAGATAGGGGTACTCAGTTCACATCGCAGTTTTGGAGGGTCGTGCAGCGAGAGTTGGGCACTCAGGTTGAGTTGAGCACAACTTTTCACCCTCAAACGGAAGGGCAGTCCGATCGCACTATTCAGATAGTGGAGGACATGTTGCGTGCTTGTGTCATTGACTTTGGGGGTTCATGGGACCAGTTCCTGCCACTCGCGGAGTTTGCATATAACAACAGTTATCAGTCGAGCATTTAGATGGCTTCGTACGAGGCTTTGTATGGGAGGAGATGTAGATCTCCGGTTGTATGGTTTGAGCCGAGTGAGGCTAGACTCTTAGGTACAGACTTGGTTCAGGACGCATTAGATAAGGTGAAATTTATTCAGGAGCATCTTCGCACGGCGCAATCTAGGCAGAAGAGCTACGCGGATAGGAAGGTATGTGATGTGTCTTTTATGGTTGGGGAGAAGGTTTTGGTGAGGGTATCACCCATGAAGGGTGTTATGAGGTTTGGGAAGAGGGGCAAGTTGAGCCCCCGGTTTATTGGGTCTTTTGAGGTGCTTCAGAGGATAGGAGAGGTGGCTTATAAGTTTGCCTTGCCACCCACCTTGTCGAGTGTGCATCCAGTGTTTCATGTTTCCATGATCCGGAAGTATATTGGAGATCCGTTCCATATTTTGGATTTCAGCACGGTTCAGGTGGAGGGTGATATGACTTATGATGTGGAGCCGGTGACTATTTTAGATCGGCAGGTTCAAAGGTTGAGGTTAAAGGATATAGCTTCAGTGAAAGTGCAATAGAGAGGTCAGCCTGTGGAGGAGGCCACTTGGGAGACTGAGCAGGAGAGCAGAGCAGATATCCACGCCTATTCGAGACTCCAGGTATGTTTCTAGACCCGTTCGAGGACGAATATATGTTTAAGAGGGGGAGGATATAATGACCCGACCGGTCGTTTCGAGAGTTATAGCCCCGTTTTCCCTATTTCTACTTTTTTTTGTGTGTTATTCAGCTATATTATGTTATATCAGGTTAGTTGGTTCGGGACTGAAGTGGTTTCAGAGTGAATTGAGACACTTAGTCTCTTAAGTAGAAACTTAAGTTGGAAAAGTCAACCGGACATTGACCTATGTGTAAATGATCTCGGATTTGAATTCTGATGGTTCTGTTAGCTCTATTAGGTGATTTTGGACTTAGGAGTGCATCCAGAATGTGATTTGTTGGTCCGTGGTAGAATTAAGCTTGAATTGGCGAAATTGGAAATTTGGCGATTTCGGTCGGCAGTGAAAAATTTGATATCGGGGTCGGAATGGAATTCCGGAAGTTGGAGTAGGTTCGTAGTGTCATTTGTGATGTGTGTGCAAAATTTGAGGTCATTCACGTGGTTTGGTTGGTATCGGCATCGGTTGCCGAATTTGAAAATTTAGAAGTTTTTAGGCTTGAATCCGAGGGTAATTTGATGATTTGATGTTGTTTTGAGTGAATCGAAGGTTCGACTAAGTTGGTATGTTGATATATGATTTGTTGGTAATTTT